ATGACTGTGCTGTTTCTGCATGTAGTCCTCCCTCACCAGACTCCTGTCTATAAGTGCTGTCACCCTTTTCTTGTTGGGGGTGGGGGGAGTCGGCCTTTGGACAGATGTCTGCCACCCCCCCGCCCCCTCCCCCTCAGTTGCCAGCATCTAAAATAAAGCAAACTTCCCTTTCCATCATTCTGGCCTGCTTATTGGCTTTTGAGCAGTGAGCAGTTGGACACCCTATGCATACCTTTTGGTAACAGTGAGAAGTGACAGGCATACCTTTTCAGTGCAGGAGGCTCCAACTGACACTTTTCACTGGAGAGCTTCGGACCCCGCTACATCCAGGCTCTGCACCGTCAGTCTCTCCTTCCACTGTAAATCCTAAAGTCCATCATTGTCCTGATTTCCAACTGAGTCACTATCTCTTTGATGAGACTCCTAGTTATGAAGAAGCTTCAATGACAGGAAGAAAAGTGAACCAATTTATACTTACAAAGTTCTCTAGCCAGGATGAGCTCTGTGTGTGTGTGTGTGTGTGTGTGTGTGTGTGTGTGTGTGCTCACTCAGTCATGTCTGACTCTTTGCTAACCCATGGCCTGTAGCCTGCCAGGCTCCTCTGTCCATGGTATTTCCCAGGCAAGAATACTGGAGTAGGCTGCCAAGCTCTCCTCCAGGGGATCTTCCTGACCCAGGGATCAAACCTGTGTCTCCTGCATTGGCAGGCAGATTTTTACCACTGCATCACCTGGAAAGCCCAGGATGGGCTGACACATTAGCAATATAACCCCCTCCCCATAAAATCATTGTACTATAACTTCCTATATGGGGAAACAATGCAAACAGTGACACACTTTATTTTCTTGGGCTTCCAAATCACTGCAGATGGTGACTGCAGCTATGAAATTAAAGTTATGACCAACCTAGACAGTCTATTAAAAAGCACAGACATTACTTTGCCAACAAAGGTCTGTCTAGTCAAAGCTATGACTTTTCCAGTAGTCATATATGGATGTGAGAGTTGGACTATCAAGAAAGCTGAGCACCAAAAATTGATGCTTTTAACTGTGGTGTTGGAGAAGACTCTTGAGAGTCCCTTGGACTGCAAAGAGATCAAAGCGGTCAATCCCAGAGGAAATCAGTTCTGAATATTTATTAGAAGAACTGATGCTGAAGCTCCAATACTTTGGTCACCCAATGGGAAGAACTGACTCATTTGAAAAGACCCTGATGGTGGGCAAGATTGAAGTCAGGAGGAGAAAGGGATGACAGAGGATGAGATGATTGGATGGCATCACCGACTCAATGGACATGAGTTTGAGCAAGCTCCTGAGGTTGGTGATGGACAGGGAAGCCTGGCATGCTGCAGTCCATGGGTTCACGAAGAGTTGGAGACAACTGAGTGACTGAACTAAATTGATAACTTCCTATACATTAACAGGACTTGGGACCTTATATCTCCTTTATATCTGTTCCTGTCTACTGCTACATACTGTCTATGTCTCATGTAGTTCATTTATATCCAAGACTACAGGTGTTCATGTAGCCTAGGATCTGAGTGTGTAGTCATAAAATATATTGTGTTGAAAAAATTTCTTGGCTGTGTCATGCAGGATCTTAGTTCCCTGACTAGAGACTGAACCCAGGCCCAGAGCAATGAAAGTGCTGAGTCTTAATCACTGGATGGTGAGGGAATTCCCTTACATAGAAATGTTTGTGTGAAATTTGCAGAGTCGTTTGATAGTCACTCAGAGTTCTTGATTTTTTACATCTCTTTATGAGCCTTGAAGGGGCTTCCCACTTGGCACAGTGGTAAAGAATCCACCTGCCAATGCAGAAGACACAGGAGATGCAGATTCAATCCCTGGGTTAGGGAGATCCCCTGGAGAAGGAAATGGCAACCGACTCCAGTATTCTTGCCTGGAGAATCCCATGGGCAGAGGAGCCTGACAGGCTACAGTCCTTGGGGTCAGAAAGAGTCAGACACAACTGAGCAACTGAGCATGCACATGCACATGAGCCTTGAAGAGTTAGTTCTAACCACCTATGAGAATAGTCCAGGGGAATATTTTTCTAGAGCAGTCTGAATGAGAAAGATTCAGAGAAAGATGAACTTAAATAATAAGCAAAGAAAAGAACAACTCCAGAATCTACTGAATAACAAATTATCAAACCTCTTACATTCCATAGAGTATTTCCCCAATACACCTATTATCTTACCATTAAGTCCTCAGGACCATAACTGTGTAAGATAGATGGGGAGGAATTACTCTTGTCTTAACCAACACTTGAGGTTCAAGAGAGTAAGAGGCTTGTTCAAGATCACACTGCCTTAATTTCTCTTTCTGTTTTCTCATTGTTAGTGTATAGGAATGCAAGGGATTTCTGTGTGTTAATTTTATACAAATTATATAAAATTATATATGTATCTATACACTAACTGCACTTATATCTATACACTAGCAATGAGAAAACAGAAAGAGAAATTAAGGAAACAATTCCATTCACCATTGCAACAACAAAAATACTTCAAAATAAATCTACCTAAAGAAACAAAAGACCTATATATAGAAAACTATAAAACACTGATGAAAGAAATCAAAGATGACACAAATAGATGGAAAATACACCATGCTCATGGATTGGAAGAATCAATATAGTGAAAATGAGTGTATTACCCAAAGCAATCTATAGGTTCAATGCAATCCCTATCAAGCTACCAATGGTATTTTTCAGAGAACTAGAATGAATAATTTCATAATTTGTATGGAAATACAAAAAAAACCTCAAATAGCCAAAGCAATCTTGAGAAAGAAGAATGGAACTGGAAGAATCAACCTGCCTGACAGGCTATACTACAAAGCTACAGTCATCAAGACAATATGGTACTGGCACAAAGACAGAAATATAGATCAATGGAACAAAATAGAAAACCCAGAGATAAATCCACGCACCTATGGACACCTTATTTTTGACAAAGGAGGCAAGAATATACAGTAGAGAAAAGACAATCTCTTTAACAAGTGGTGCTAGGAAAACTGGTCAACCACTTGTAAAAGAATGAAACTAGAACACTTTCTAACACCATACACAAAAATAAACTCAAAATGGATTAAAGATCTAAATGTAAGACCAGAAACTATAAAACTCCTAGAGGAAAACATAGGCAAAACACTCTCTGACATAAATCACAGCAGGATCCTCTATGACCCACCTCCCAGAGTAATGGAAATAAAAGCAAAAATAAGCAAATGGGACCTAATGAAACTTAAAAGATTTGCACAACAAAGGAAACTATAGGCAAGGTGAAAAGACAGCCTTCAGAATGGCAGAAAATAGTAGCAAATGAAGCAGCTGACAAAGAATTAATCTCAAAAATATACAAGCAGCTCATGCAGCTCAATTCCAGAAAAATAAACAATCCACTTTAAAAATGGGCCAAGCAGGTGCAGCACCGTAGAGCTCTCTCGCTTACACAAAGCCCAGACGCGGAGAAAATGGCAGCAGGGGTTGAAGCGGCGGCCGAGGTGGCGGCGACAGAGCCCAAAATGGAGAAGCAGAGCGGCGCGCCTGGCATGCCAAGCGGCAATGGAGCTCCAGGCCCGAAAGGTGAAGGAGAACGACCTGCTCAGAATGAGAAGAGGAACGAGAAAAACATAAAAAGAGGAGGCAGTCGCTTTGAGCCATAAGCCAATCCAACTAAAAGATACAGAGCCTTCATTACAAACATAACTTTTGATGTGAAATGGCAGTCACTTAAAGACCTGGTTAAAGAAAAAGTTGGTGAGGTAACATACATGGAAGTCTTAATGGACCCTGAAAGAAAGTCAAGGAGATGTGCTGCTGTTGAGTTCAAGATGGAAGAGAGCATGAAAAAAGCTGCTGAAGTTCTAAACAAGGATAGTCTGAGTGGAAGACCACTGAAAGTCAAAGAAGATCCTGATGGTGAACATGCCAGGAGAGCAATGCAAAAGGTGATGGCTATGACTGGTGGGATGGGTATGGGACCAGGTGGCCCAGGAGTGATTAATATCCCACCCAGTATCCTAAATAATCCTAACATCCCAAATGAGATTATCCATGCATTACAGGCTGGAGGACTTGGAAGCACAGTATTTGTAGCAAATCTGGATTATAAATTTGGCTGGAAGAAACTGAAGGAAGTTTTTAGTATGACTGGTGTGGTGGTCCGAGCAGACATTCTTGAGGATAAAGACGGAAAAATTCATGGAATAGGCACTGTTACTTTTGAACAGTCCACTGAAGCCGTGCAAGCTATATCTATGTTTAATGGCCAGCTGCTGTTTGACAGACCAATGCACGTGAAAATGGATGAGAGGGCCTTACCAAAGGGAGATATTTTCCCTCCTGAGCATCCACAACAACTTCCCCATGGACTTGGTGGTATTGGCACAGGATTAGGACCAGGAGGGCAGCCTATTGATTCCAACCATTTGAATAAAGGCATTGGAATGGGCAACCTGGGACCTGCAGGAATGGGAATGAAAGGCATAGGATTTGGAATAAATAAAATGGGAGGCATGGAAAGACCCTTTGGTGGTGGTATGGAAAACATGGGTAGATTTGGATCTGGGATGAACATTAGCAGAATAAACGAAATCCTAAGTAATGCCCTGAAGAGAGGAGAGATCATTGCAAAGCAGGGAGGAGGTGGAGGCAGAGGCAGTGTCCCTGGAATTGAGAGGATGGGCCCTGGCATTGACCACATTGGGCGGGGGGGAGGGAGGGGGCAGCATGGAATGCATGGGCTCAGGCCTGGGCCATGTCATGGATCGTGTCGGCTCCAAGATTGAGTGCATGGGCCTGGCCATGGACTGCATGGGCTCTGTTCAGCGCATGGGCTCTGGCATCGAGTGCATGGGTCCCTGGGCCTCGACAACATGGCCTCCAGCATCGAGCGCATGGGCCAGACCATGGAGTGCATTGGCTCTGGCATGGAGCGCATGGCTGTTGGCATGGAGCACATGGCTCTTGGCATGGGCTTTGGCCTCTAGCGAATGGCTGCGCCCATTGACCATGTGGGCCAGACCATCGAGCGCTTGGGCTCTGGTGTGGAGTGCATGGGCCCTGCCATCGAGTGCATGGGCCTGGGCATGGAGCACATGGTGCCCGCAGGCATGGGCCCCATGATGGATCACATGGCCACCAGCCTGGAGTGCATGGGCACCAACAACTTGGAGCGCATGGGCCTAAAGAGTATGGGCCCCAATAGTCTCGAGCATATAGGCCTGGAGCACATAGACGCCAACAGCCTTGAGCTCATGGGTCCTGCCATGGGCCCAGCCCTGGGTGCTGGCACTGAGCGCATGGGCCTGGCCATGGATGGTGGTGGTGGTTCCAGCTTTGACTGTGCCATCGAGATGGAGCTTGGCAACTTTGGAGGAAGTTTCGCGGGTTCCTTTGGTGGAACTGGAGGCCATGCCCCTGGGGTGGCCAGGAAAGCCTGCCAGATATTTGTGAGAAATCTCCCATTTGATTTTACATGGAAGATGCTAAAAGACAAATTCAATGAATGTGGCCACTTGCTGTATGCCAACATCAAGGTGGAGAATGGGAAGTCCAAGGGGTGCGGTGTGGTTAAGTTTGGGTTGCCAGAGGTGGCTGAGAGAGCCTGCCAGATGATGAATGGGATGAAGCTGAGTGGCCGAGAGATTGATGTTCGAATCGATAGAAATACTTAAGCAGTTGCCTTTTTAAAACATTGATACCAGACTTCTGAATTTGTATTTTTTCTTGTTAACCATTTTAATTTGTTGGCTGGATGTATAAAGATGTTTAAAAATTTTAGTTGCTTTTTGGGGTAATTTGAATTACTTTTTTAATGACTGGGGTTCCATTTGTTTGCATTGAGATTGCAATGTGTGTGATTTTTTTTGTAGCTGTGGCATCTTGTTGACATCGAATATGACTTTGATAATAAATACCAGTTCCTGAAAAAATAAAATAAAATAAAAAATAAATAATGGGCCAAAGAACTAAACAGACATTTCTCCAAAGAAGACATACAGATGGCTAACAAACACATGAAAAGATGTTCAGCATCACTCATTAGCAAAGAAATGCAAATCAAAACCACAATGAGGTACCATCTCACGCCGGTCAGAATGGCTGCTATCAAAAAGTCTACAAGCAATAAATGCTGGAGAGGGTGCAGAGAAAAGGGAACCTTCTTACACTGTTGGTGGGAATGCAAACTAGTACAGCCACTATGGAGAACAGTGTGGAGATTCCTTAAAAAACTGGAAACAGAACTGTCATATGACCCAGCGATCCCACTGCTGGGCATACACACTGAGGAAACCAGAATTGAAAGAGACACGTGTATCCCAATGTTCATCGCTGTACTGTTTATAATAGCTAGGAAATGGAAGCAACTTAGATGTCCATCGGCAGATGAAATGGTACATGTAAGCAATGGAATATTACTCAGCTATTAAAAAGAATGCATTTGAATCAGTTCTAATGAGGTGGATGAAACTGAAGCCTATATTATATAGAGTGAAGTAAGTCAGAAAGAAAAACACCAATACAGTATATTAATGCATATATATGGAATTTAGAAAGATGGTAACGATGACCCTATATGTGAGACAGCAAAAGAGACACAGATTTAAAGAACAGACTTATGGACTCTATGGGAGAAGGCAAGGGTGGGAAGATTTGAGAGAATAGCTTTGAAACATGTATATTACCATATGTGAAATAGACTGCCAGTCCAGGTTTGATGCATGAGACAAGTGCTCAGGGCCAGAGCACTGGGACGACCCAGTGGGATGGGATGGGGAGGGAGGTGGGATGGGGGTTCAGGATGGGGAACAAGTGTACACCTATGGCTGATTCATGTCAATTTATGGCAAATACCACTACAGTATTGTAAAGTAATTAGCCTCCAATTAAAATAAATAATTAAAAAAAAAAGATCACACTGCTTCTCTGTGGCTGATCTGGGACTTGAACCAGGTCTTTTGATGCCTGATGTGAGATTCACATTCCATTTCTACCCAAGGGCTGGCAACCTCATCTTTCTCTTATGGTGTTTCACCAGTTGGCGTATTCAGAAAGCAGACACTGAGACAGAGTTTAGCATTGAAGGGATTCGTCAGGGTGTACTCGGGGTTGACACCTGTGGAAGGGAGGGGGAGGAGGCAGATTTGGTAGAGGGAGAAGTGAGCTGGGGTGCAGGAGCAATGCCATGGGAGCTCTGGATCCAGGCAGTGCTGTTCCAGGTCTCCCCTTCAGTGACCGTATTTCTTTCCTCCTGAATTTGTCAAGAGCAGGGACTATTTATGTCTCTAACTTTTAGTGCAGTGTTTACCACATAAAAGGCACTTCATGCTTTCCGAATGAATAAACAGAGTTGAAAAGAACCAAAATGTTTCACAGTAGGGAAGTGGTTAAATCAATTAGGATTAATACTTCAATGGAAAATCATGCATCTCAATATAGAAGAAACAGCAATTATGAAAACTAGGGAACATGAAAAAATTTTTACACTCTTGAAAAACAGCACATGTAATCATACATACATTTGCTGGGTTTGAAATGATGGAAATGTACATATTAACATAATAAAGGCCAGAAAATAAATAAATGAAAGTCATATTATATTAACTTTGTGGGATTGTGGGTGGTTTTCATTTTTTGTTTGTTCTTTCAATGTTGCCATAATTTAGTTTGTGTGATATTACTTACATTGTTGAGAAGAAGATGAACCACCAGTTGTGGCTTTGCCAGCATCACTGTCAACCTGGGATTGAGCCTGTTGGGTCACAGCAGTGAGATGGGGTTTAGAGAGATGGGGAATAGACCTGGCAGAGGAAGCTATTCAGCAGCTGTGGACATCGGGGAAGGCTGAATCCACCTCCAGGAAAGCCCTTATCTTCTTGCTAGAGGCTATTCCAAAATCTTCAATTCTTAAATTGAATCTTAATATCTGCTGATTCAAAATTGCATTGAGTTAATGGAATTTTGTTTCTTTTGATTCGTGTTCACTTGTCATAAGATGATTGAATCCTTTAACAAGTTTTTAATTCAACACAATCATGCAAATTCAATATTTGGTGTGTTTTCTAAGCTTCGCATGGTCATAGACCAGGAACCCATTCAGGGATTGCTGTCTTTTCTTGCAAAGACCTCTCCTCTCTCTTGAATGTGCTTTGCAGATGACTTAAAAACATTCTGGCATTTGCGTTAGATAGACATTGCTTCTACTTTGGTTTAGTGTTCTAAACTCTCCACTGTGCTTCAAGCCTGACACAGTATTTGTATAAAAGTTTAAAACCTGATTTCACTCTTTCTCTTTGAATCCCTTCTCTCTTCTCTTACTCTGTGAAGCAAATTCTGACAAATAAAACTCTGCTGTTTGCTCAGCTACTGGGCTCTCTCTTCCGAGCCTGGGACTCCGAGATCTGTTCTTTGATGTGTTCCATTCCCTGAGCAAATTTTCCCCATCTCGTGAATCAAAGTCAAGGGCTTTCCTCACCTTCTATCATCTCTGTGTTCTGCATAGCCACATTCCTCTTCAGTGCCAGGAAGAAGGTTGTCACATAAGCTCTCTCCTTTAAGAAATTCTGATGTCACCAAAGATTACACAAAAGGTACTCTATTCAGTAGGTAACAAAGTTGTGAAAAAATCTTACTGGAATCTCAGTGCCTTCCTCTAGGTAGATACATCCCTGTGTATGTTTTCTTGAATACTGACAATCTTTACCTACTAATGTGGCTTTGAAGACCAAGGATGTAGGCAAGGAAGAGAGTAATAGAGATAGAAATATATATATATATATAACAAATTTAGAAATATATATGTATTTAGAAATTATATATAAATTTAGAAATTTATATAAATATATATATATGTATAGGGCTTCCTTGGTGGCTCAGCTTGTGTGTATGTGTGTGTGTGTGTGTGTGTGTGTGTGTGTGTGTGTATATATATATATATAATAAGAGCCAGAAAATTTCATTTTTCCAGGATGCTAGGAGATGTGTTCATACATCCTAGCATCCTGGATAACACCGTTGTAGCCATCTAAAACCTTGGGTCATTCTGGATAACTAAATAGTGATTTCAAGCAGCCAAGGATATACACATTTCATTCATTCATTCAACAACTTCTTGAGCACCTACTATGCATTAGGCACTATTCTAGGTAACCATTTATCCATCAAAGCTTAAACTTTGGAGTGAATTCCTTCTGAAATTGTTTATGTTTCTTTTCACTTGATCCTTTCTATAGTCGGCTCAGTTCAGTTCAGTCACTCAGTCATGTCTGACTCAGCGACCCCAGGGACCACAGCACACCAGGCTTCCCTGTCCATCACCAGCTCCCAGAGCTTGCCCAAACTCATGTGCATCAAGTCAATGATACCATCCAACCATCTCATTCTCTGATGTCCTCTTCTTCCCCTGCCTTCAGTCTTGCCCAGTAACAGGGTCTTTTCCAGTGAGTCAATTCTTCCCATCAGGTGGCCAAATGGAGCTTCAGCTTCAGCATCAGTTCTTCCATTGAATATTCAGGACTGATTTCCTTTAGATTGACTGGTTTGATCTCCTTGCAGCCCAAGGAACTCGCAAGAGTCTTCTCCAACACCACTGTTCAAAAGCATCATTTCTATAGTACTCTTATACTAATCTAATCTTTTATTGGTGACAGAAGATCAGATACAGTTTGGTAGGGTGTAAAGAATAGTATTGAGTGTTGAGAGAACTGAACTTTAGTGGGCTTTGATTTCCTTCTCCAGGGGATCTTCCTGATCCAGGGAACAAACCCAGGTCTCTTGCATTGCAGGAAGATGCTTTACCGTCTGAGCTACTAGGGAAGCCCAGAGAAATATATAAGGGATCACAAATAATTTTTAGTAGAACTGAAACCCTATGGACTGTAGCCTGCCAGGCTCCTCTGTCCGTGAAATTCTGCAGGCAAGAATACTGGAGTGGGGTGCCATCCCCTTCTCCAGGGCATTTTCCCAACCCAGGGATTGAATCTGGGTCTCTTGAATTGCAGGCAGATTCTTTACCATCTGAGCCATGAGGTTGCAAAGAGTTGAACACAACTGAGTGACTAACACACACATATGTTTCTCTACAGATTGTTTTCTATATAAAAGTTATTCATAAACTATGGAAGGCTATGCACATCTAAGGCATCATCCTTATGGACAGTCACTCTAACACTGGGCCAAAATACAGACATTTCTTTGGTGTCAACTAAGATAGATGAGGTATTTGCCCCTATACTAAATGGACCTAGATTTCAGGGCTTCTAGTGTTTGTATATATGGGTAATGAGGCTGAGTTGGGTATGAGGGAGTTTCACCAAGCTTGCAAACTTATTTTGAAAAGATATGAAGTGAATTTTCATACTGTTTTCCGAAAGACTTGTAGGGGGAGGCTATTTTTCATAAAATTTGTTCATGATAGAGGAAGGCTGAAAATTTCAAAGCTTTTCCTTCTGTTTTGTGCAGTGAAAGGGTGGAGACCTTAAATAGAAGGCCCTTTGTTTAACAATGTTGATTCGTATTTTGGATAAGCAAGGGTAGGATTGAACTCAGTTTGGAGCAGAGGTTAAAAAACAAAACTCTTCTGAAGAAGGAATTAACAGAATTTACGGGATGGAAGGCTGGCAGTCAGGGTAGGGAGAAGGTATATGTGCATGCATGTGTGTGTGTATAACAGAAA